TTCTTTATTGGGTGTGAATAAGTTCTCTAAATGGTACACATTAGGTGAGAGAGTATAATAAAACCTGAAGGATTTTGTACAGCTGCTTAACCAACTCCTATCACTGTGACTCTCGGGCACAATAATAAACAGCAGAATCTTCAGTCTTCAGGCTGTTCATCTGCAGATACACCTGCTGTCTGCTGTCGTCTCTGGAGACAGTAAATCGACCTTGTACTGACTGAGAGTAGTATTTGGTACCACCACCATCAGCAGCAATCCACTCCAGGCCCTTTCCAGGAGCCTGTCTGATCCAGTGAATCCAGTAGCTGCTGAGTGTGAATCCAGATGTTGTACAGGTCAATCTGTGAGACTGACCAGGTTGTTTAACTGCTGGTTCAGATTCTGTCAGAGTCTGACCATTAACACCTGTAAAGAGAAAATCAATGACAAATGCACAACTTAAGCATGAACCAAAATGTAATTTTATATTATCATCAACAAAGCTTTTCACCTGCCAAGCAGAGAGTTATAAGCAGCAGTCCTGTCCTACAGTCCATCATGTCAGGCTGTGAGTCCACTGTTCTCTGTCATCATCTCTGCAGTCAGACATAAAGAGATAGAAGCTATCAGTGCTTTGCATTGACTCCGCCTCCTCATGAAAGCAGCTTCTCCCTGATGAAATAAAGACGAGAATCACAACAACCTAAACCTATTCACCTTAACAAGAAAGAAGAAAGAACACAAAACACTGCAAACCACAACACAATTAAATATAAATTATAATATGAAAACAAAAAGAAGATGCACATTCTCTGTCATATAGGCCTGCATGAATAAACTTTCTGAATCCTTTATCATCGGCAACTGAAAATAGTTGTGGATGATTACTATACCTTTCTAATGTGATGTTGTGTCCCTGGCTCTTTCTCTCTGTCCTGCTCTGTTCCTGTGCTACTGTGTGTAACTACCGCCCCTCCCCCCTCTTCCCAGTGCAAAGCACAAGGCTGGCATGCTGTGTGAAGCTGAAAAAAGTGGGAGAGAGAGAGGGTGAGAGAAAGAAAAAAAACCAACGGCTTGCGATAAGGAGCCGGCTCGCGTCGTTCACGTCAAAGAGCCGGCTCTAAGAGCCATTTCGTTCGCGACCGACCCATTACTATAGCACGGGGCGCCCACAGAAACGCAAAGCGGGAGATGAAGCATAGCTGAATATGTTTCCAAACCAACTTCATTCTAAGCCAAAGACTAGAAAATATGGTGAAGCATATCTTCCCTTTGGCTTCACCTGCACAAGTGCCAAGGTAGGTCTCCCCTGCAAAATTGGTTTTTCCTGTGTCGGGAGCAGCGTGCTGGGCTGTTCAGATCACGGACAAACAGTATCCCACAGTTGTTTATGTTTTTAACCCCATTTTGCACAGAGGCATCTTTTGAAAAATGTATTGATAGCAATGTTGAATATTATTACACATGAAAAAAAAAACAACTATAGTAAAATAATCACACTGTGACGCCTCTGCCTTTCTAAATGGAGGGACAGTAACTGCATGTGTATAAGTGTGTAAAACCTGCAGATAGTCAGATTAACAGTATTTTGTCTCTATCTCCCATTCTGCAATTCATCTCATGTAAACAATAACGTGGCGCACAGCGTGACGTGAAAAAAGGCACATACCTTTGACGTTGAGTGACGAATTCTGTACTCCTTGTCCACACGTAAACGCAAAAAAGGAGTTTAAAAAAATCTCAGTTTTCGGTGATTCGAAACGCAGTTTAAGTGTGGACGAAACAGCTGTGTTTTTAAAGATACCTGTGTAGGTGTGACCGTAGCCTAAAAGAGTTAGTAGTTTATTTTATTACTAGCTGTAATTTATTGCAGATTACTTGTATTTGCTTAATTGTTTACTAAATGTTTGAGGTGTGAAAGAAACCGCAATGGAGCAAAATATGGGTGTGTGTGGTTGGAGGATGTGTTTGTGCGTGTGCGTGCGTGCACGCGCGAGAAGGAGGGGGTCGAACATTTTTCTTGTAAAACAAAGGGGGGCCTAGCAAAAAAAGTTTGCGAACCACTGCCTTAAATCATCATATAAATGGTAAGGGAAGCAGTGTCAGGTGAAAAGTGATGGCGACTCTAAGGGCCCATTAGTGATGGGTCGTTCGCGAACGAAATGGCTCTTAGAGCCGG